ATATTGGGTGAATTGATTCTCCCGTTTAATTATTAAACACACCAATAAATAAATATTTGAGTAAATTAAACAGATAAATACATATACGTATATTATTTAAAATACAATTAATAAAAATATATAGATTGAATATCAAGCTCATTGAGTGCATTAAAGGGCATGTGACAATAACTAATAAATGGGGATAATTAACCATAATTTAATTTAGATAATAGCACATATTAAAGTATGACAATATGATCACAATCTTTATGTCATTAACTAATTAAGATAAAATCAAAAAACATATTTCAAACACAAATTGTATAAATATATGACACAAACCTCAATGTAAACCATAATTAAAAACACAAAGTTTTGGAGTTTTATAAAAACAATTAAAACGAGTTTAAAAAATTCTCCATTAGTTGTTTTTTAATACAACAAAAAACTAATTATGAAAGTATTGGCACTTGTATTGGCCGTATGCGTAGCCGGCGGGCACTGCGCTGAACTGCCCCCTCGGGCCACCTTCAGGACTGCACCGGAGGGTCGTATTGTTGGCGGCAGACCGGCCACCGCGACCGAAGCACCATGGCAAATATCGCTGGTCTCTAGCGGTTGGTTTGGCGACAGTCACCGGTGCGGCGGTTCGCTCGTCGGCACTCAATCGGTAGTCACCGCCGCTCACTGTACCGACGGGTAGGCTTAACATATGCTACTTTGTATTACTTATTAAAAATATTATATACCGTCTCCCATAAATAAAACATTCTCCTATTTTAGAAACTACTAGGTCGATTTTATCAAAATATTTCTATTATTTAAATATGTATTAATCATTTATTTTGCCGATATATATAGTATGCAGGCCAGTGGGCTGAAGGTGAAATACGGCGGTCTGGACCGTACCGCCCTCGCAGTGACCGTTACGGTGAGTAACATATACCAACATGCTTCATACGACGCTCAGGCCATTGACTGGGACTACTCAGTGATCAAACTGTCCGCACCCATCGAGACCAGTCGACCCAACGTCAAGACCATTGAGTTGGTCGATACGGCACCGGCGGGCGGATCGCCCGCATCGTTGACGGGTTGGGGCCTTACGATTGGCGGTAACACCGGCTCATCGCCCACTGCTCTACAGTACGTGGACTTTAAGATTGTATCGCAAACCGATTGCAATCAACGATACAAAGACTTATACGGCGATCAGATTGTTGTGACAGCCCGACAGATTTGCACCGAGCACGAATCGGCCAGTGGTTGCAATGTATGTACTGTTTATAAAAATATATCATGTTTATTTTAATTTAAATCTACCAGTATATATTAATATCATTGAGTTTATGCAATATTTGTTTGTAACTATGAGAGAGAAAGTTTTTGGAATTTAGCATATATTTATTTTTCATTTTGCATTAATTGCTTAGGGTGATTCTGGTGGACCATTGGTTGCAGGTGGCAAATTGGCCGGTATTGTTTCCTGGGGTATTAGAAACTGTCCCTCAGACACCACAAAGACTCCCGCAGCCTATGCTGATGTGGCCAACCAAGTTGCTTGGCTCAGAGGCAATATTGTTTAAGCATGGCAGTTTTTGTTAATCGACTGGTTAATACAAATTATTATTTATAAATATTGTTATTTAATCACTAAAACCATTGTTAATTTTTTTATATTAATTATAAATTTTAATAAAAGTAAATGTTTGTGCATTGAAGCATGGTTTTATTAATTTGTTTTAATAATAAATTCAACATTAAATCAACTATACAGTATGTTCAACCAATTTTACTAGCTGTTTTATATTTCACATAAAATACTATAAACTTTACATTATACAGTATTAAATGTTATCCATGCCTTCAAAACGCTTATGAATTTAATTCATTAAAAACATAAATTTTTATTGGCACAACAATTTTGTTTGTGGCATAACTTTTATAACAATTGTTAGGAATTCATTGATGAATGTTGTTTATATATTTAATACACACAACAAACAAAATAAATAAATAATATTTTAAACAAATTAATTATTGTTTTATTAAAACTGACTTTTCTCATAAATTTAATATTTATAATATAATTCAATTTGAAATTTATAAATTATTTCAGCTGTTATGGCACCACTATTTTACAATCAATTACAGTATTAAGTTTTTAAAAACTTATAAATATAAGTAAATTTAATTACATCCTAAACCCATACGCAAAGCGCATGAGATTTTAATTAAAAAATTTTCAAACAACACATTTCTTTATTAGTTATATTTTTACACAACAAATAGCATACAGTTATGAAAGTAGTGGCCATAGTTCTGGCCATATATCTGGCCAGTGTTGCCAACAGTTTTAAATCCCCAAAATTCCGGGGTTTTAACGTAATGGCTAATGAGCCCAAAGAGAAGACCCGGTCGGCCCCGTGGCACGTGTCCATACAAGTGAACGGTAGCCACCGGTGCAGCGGCTCACTAAACGGTTTTAATTGGGTGGTGACCGCCGCCAAATGTACACAAGGGTAGGCAACGGCGTGTAGTAATTAAGATTATAAAACTACTTGTGACACTATTTTAATAGTGCATTATTTACTAGTATATTGTTTTTAATGATACCGTATTTTCACGCATAGCTTAAAGCCCGATCAGGTTAGGGTACGGTTTGGCGGTGTACGTCTATCGGCGCTCACTTACACCGAGACGGTAGCAAAAATACAATACACAGAGCTGTTGGTCAAAACGGGTTGGGACGCCGCCACACTCACACTGACCAAGACAATGATTGCCTCTCCCGGCGTCGAGTCTATTGAGGTGGTCGATGAGGTGCCCAAAGAGGGTGACAAAGGATTTATGACCGGTTGGCGGCCCGGCATTCATGACTTGCAATACGAATCGGTGACAGTTGTGGCCAAATCTAAGTGCGTCCACGTCGGTGGCGGTATCCCGAGATCTACACCCGGTATAATATGCACCGAACGCCAGGGTGGTAAAGTTTGTATTGTATGTATATAAACCGTGAAGATTTACTGTCGCGGTTAGGGTGACCAACTGTCCTCTATTTAGAGGACAGTCCTTTATTTGGCTATATATTAAATAATGTACCCTTATGATTTACTATGAAAACAAAGGTTAAAATTTGTGTCTATTTGTCATAAATTTTTATTGTATGTTTTCCCTTTTGTCCTCTAAAACTCTTTGTAGTGTCCTCTTTTTTTCCAAAATGGAAGTTGGTCACCCTAGTCGCGATATATGATGTCCAATTACAGCATATAAACATAATATGTTATAATGTGTATTACTACCAGGGTGATGTTGGCGGTGCTTTGGTCATAGGTGGCAAAATTGCCGGTATTGTGTCGGCCGGTGTTGGCAAATGTCAGCCGGAATCACCGGTAGCTAATGTCGATGCCATTTATGTACGTGATAAACTGATTCAAGAAAATTTTCAAACTAATTTAACATTAGTTTAAAAATGAATATTGTTAGCGTATTGCATGCTAATTTTAAATTATTTAATTTTATCATTAATGTATACATGTAAGATGTTTTAAATTAAAAATAATAAATTTAATTATGTTTATAAATAAGTTTATAAATGTTTACAAGTAATACAAGTTTTAGTTTGTTAGAATGAGTTAGTTTGTAATTTATAAATTAGTAAATACTTTTATTCATTTAATTAAACTATTTAAATTAAAACATTTTGTAATTTTATATAAAGTTAAATGTGATTAATGTTTAAACGGGGTGTTAAACGTGTAAAATATTTGTAATTTATTGTATAATTTTTATCAATTCATATTAATTCAAATAAAGTTTAATTAAATTAAAACTTTAATACCTGTTTTACATGATTGAGGGTTTCCTGAACAAATTATTCTGTATTCAAAATTCATCTTGGAGAAACTTCCCTATAGGAAACAGCTCCTCATATGAAACTGGTTTGAAATATATTTTGGATTAATGTATAGATAACTGAAACTCCATTGGAAAAAACCATCTCTATAAGAAATGACATGTAACTATAAAACACTTTGGCTATGTATTTGGCCCGTTACCTATGGAGAGGTTGCACTGCATTGATAAATATAAAAATTCATAATAACATTTGGGATAAATATTTTAGTTTGACACATATTTTGCTTTTGTAATTAACATAAGTATCTTCTTACTACTATTCCTAAATATTTCTTACCTGATTATAATTTTATAATACTATCATAGTATATAACACCACATAAAACACAACACATTTAAGAAAATAATACAACCACATTTTTGTGATCACTAATTATATTTCAAATATTTGACACAGTTAACAAATCGTGACAATCTATATTAAAATAACATAATGGTTTATAAATGTATATGAATGAAAAATTTATAAATTACTGCATTGCAGTCTGCACCACATTCAGTTAGTTATAAACCAATTAACAAATATAAATGTTGCAATTCCGTTGGCAATACACCCATATGATTTACCACATGTTCAATATTTTAATTACAAAAACCAATAAATCCAAACTAATTTCTCTATTAATTTTAAATCTATACAACAAAAAACAAAGAGTTATGAAAGTATTGGCCATAGTATTAGTCATATGTTTGGCCAGTTATGTAAACAGCGACGGACCACGCAAATCAGGCAAGTCAGGCAAATCTGGCAACTCTCGCAACTCTGGCAACTCTGGCAGATCTGGCAATTCTGGCAACTCTGGCAGATCTGGCAATTCTGGTAACTCTGGCAGATCTGGCAATTCTGGCAACTCTGACAATTCTGGCGACTCTGGCAAGTCAGATGGGGAAAACTTGACCAACAACGACCCGTGGCATGTTTCTGTGTGGGTCGAGGGGAGGGGCGGCAGCGACCATAAGTGTAGCGGTGTTTTGGTCGGCGAGAGAACGGTGTTAACCGCCGCCAACTGTACGCATGGGTAAGTGTGCGCAGTGATGCCACTCTGACGATAGGCCTGTTGTTGGGCTACTAATTACAAATAACAACTATATTTCATTAAGTTAACCAACATTAAATAAACAATAATAATTATATCGTATTTGCCATATATATAGATTGAAAACCAGAGATGTATTCGTAAAGTATGGAGGCAGAAACTACAACGAGTTGGCAAATGAGGTAGATGTGGCGAATATCCGGGAACTAGATATGCTAGGAGAGGGCTGGGGCATTGCGGTGCTTACATTGAAGCGTGATATTCAAACTTCAAAGGGCTATATAGAGGTTATTCCGCTGACCGATGAGATTCCCAGCGAAGGCAAGAATGGTTATTTGACCGGTTGGGTACCCGATACAGATCCCAAATTTGTGTTGAAACACAACCGGGCCACTATTATGCCCAGGTCCCGGTGCCGCACCATTATCGAACCCAATATGCTTTGCACTAACCGCACTTACGGCGTACATTGTGTAGTACGTACAAAACTTGTTAATCATATTATGCGTGACATTATTTAGTCAGTAGTTGTAAATTGTTATTGTATATTAACGCTAGGATGAAGCTGGTGGACCATTGGTTATGGATGGTAAATTGGTCGGTATTGTGACCCCCGCTCCCGGCAATTGCATATATGACAGAATGGAAGCACACATCGAGATCACATATTATCGCGACTATTTAAAGTATTTAGGTATTTAAACTTTACCTAAAAATTTGTAAAATTGTATAAGTTACAAATAATAAACTTGTCGTGCGTTATTTTTTGTACATTTTATTTCCCCTAGATAGTCAAATGCTTTTACTCTTACATTTAGTTTTCAATCAATTAACTCAATGTTTTATTAGTGTATTTCTAATGTCGTTATAAACTGTAACTTAGGTTTTAAAGGATTATCTCCCAGTGAGTGGAATAATGCCTCTTAATCTGTACTAAAAGCCCAAACTATACTTTTGAGTATATATGAGTGACTGTTCATCTCTGGCGGGCAGTTCTCTCCCACCCGTCAAACCCGTTGGCAATAAAGTTATTTCAGTTCAACTGTTGTCTCGTCTTATATGGCGTATCACCCGAACTGATCCATTGATAACCAAACTCTTGAACTACTGTCTGTCGGACCGGTAGTGAAGCCTAAAGACGTGTCCATTTTTATGGTATAAATTTTTGATTATTCGGATAACAGTTGTGTGAAATACAACATTATTAAATTTCTACAAAAAAATAATGTCATAAATTGACCATATGTGCGGATGTTTGCTGGTTTATCAATGGAAAATGTTACATTTTGTTTCTAGTAAAATAATCTCAGATTATTATATTTTTACACGAAAACATAATCTATTAACTAAGGACACGATTTACTGATACAACAATTAATTTAAGTTTACACTATTAAAACGTAGACTTATTATCATGATTTATATTTTAAGTTATGAATATGCCATAGTACTATATTGTTTTTGGTTATATTTATATCAACCAAAAAGTTAAGATGAAGTTAGGAATCAATTATTATTCTGACTGACATTATTCTTTTATATAATAAGATTATTAATTCTATTAATTATTATACCTATAAATTAGTATAATTATTATACCTGTATATTACAGTATATTGCCTTGATCATTTAAATTTTAAGAATACTCATGGATTACCAATACATCAATATAGATTGAATGCTCGTTTATCAGCTAATCGAGGTTGTTTTTATGTGCACTCTTACGGTATATGTGTTACATATTTTCCAATTGTGTTAAATTCATAACAAATGTACGGTATTTTTATGCACTCAATTGTCCCACATATTATAAGTTTGAACAAACACCTGATAAGTTAAATAATGTGCACTT